TTCCTGTATCAAATGGGCCAATGAACCCAGTGGAGTCTGTCCCAGGTAGTGGTAATAGGTTTGGCAACTCTTTGGTTTCTGTACACCAGTTTGGCCAAATGGAATATAGAACAGGTGTTCAATCAAGCTCATTGCTTCCTGGTTCTGCTTCTCATCAGTTTGTGTTGTCAAACCAGCAGGGCGTGATTAGAAATATGCCAACTAATATTGATGTACAGAAACTATCTGTACCAAGCAAGCGGAAGGCTGAGGCAGAACTTTTGCTTCATGGTTCTCCTCAGCAGTCATCATTACCAAATAAGCGTGCTATTGATGCTGGTTCTTTTTCTCACTTTTCTAGCCGGCTGCAGCATTCTTTGCAGAATAAGAAGACTGAACAGGTGCAACCCAAGGTCAGCCCCACAGCTTCACAAGCTCTTCTTGCATCAAGTAGGAAAATTGTGCGAAATGAATCTCTTTCAAATAGAACTGGATCCCAACGGGCACAGGCCCAGGCCCCAAAAGGGCGGGCAATACAAGTTGACCCAATGTCCAAAAATCAAACGGTATCGTTCAATGCGGTGAGGTCAAAAATGAGGGAATCACTTGCTGGTGCACTGGCTTTGGCATGCAAGAGTAAAGTAGCTACAAGTCCGGCGAAGGATGAGAATGAAGGTAACATTGCTCAACAACTACCAGCGGATTCTCAGACTTTAGAAGGCAACCTGAGCAGTGATGGTGCTTGCAGTCAAGCACTCCAGAAGCCCAATGATGCTGTTACAACTACTGAATCCCTTACTTCTGGTAAACCTGGTGATGCAGAAGAATTTTCAATTGGATTTCCTGCAAATGAGGCCATGCAAGTATCTGGCCCAGGCTTTAATGGAATTCAGTGCAGCACTGAGTTGGCTGTGGAGGATATACCATTCAGTGATAATTTCTTTGTCAAAGATGAACTCTTGCAGGGAAATGGTCTTAGTTGGGTTATGGATCTTGACATGGGGGGCAGGGAAATGAATGAAGTTGATGCTGCTGCAAAACCCAAGTTAGCTAATGAAGATGAAAAAGAAGGTTCCAATGACCAAACAAAAGAATCTCCTGAAGATCTGGCCTTTAAAGTTGAGGCAGAACTTTTTAAATTATTTGGAGGTGTAAATAAGAAATACAAGGAGAAGGGTAGATCTCTTCTCTTTAATTTAAAAGATCATGCTAATCCAGAACTTAGAGAGAGAGTAATGTCTGGTGAGATTCTTCCTGAAAGGTTATGTTCAATGACTGCAGAGGAACTTGCTTCAAAAGAACTGTCAGAGTGGAGGATGGCAAAAGCTGAGGAGCTTGCTCAAATGATAGTTTTACCTGATAATGATGCTGACATGAGGAGGTTGGTTAAGAAAACACACAAAGGTGAATATCAAGTAGAGTTTGAAAGGGATGATAAGGTTGATAATATTGCAGCAGAGATTTCTGCTGGTGCAACATCAATCACTCGATTTCAACGAAAATCCAAGGTGGCGAAGGCAAAAGGTGCTTCTGAGGCTGTAGAGAGAGAAAGTTCTGCTGACAAAAATAGTGCAGAAAAGCAGGATTTATTAGACAGCTTGGTTATTCCTGCTGAGGGGACCGATTTAATGCAAGGAATGATGGTAGATGAGTTCAAGGAAGCAGAGTTCCTTCCCCCAATTGTTAGCCTAGATGAATTTATGGAGTCCCTCGATTCTGAACCTCCATTTGAGAACCTGCCTGTAGATTCAAGTCAGTCAACGCCTCTGAGTGACAAGGAAGGAACAGTAACTGGTATTAAAGCTAGAGCTAGTGATTCAACTTCAAAAGGCCCTTCTAATGCTTCTGAGGGTAAGACTGGTGAAGCGATCAAAAAGCAAGCTGAGCCGGTCAACAAACAAGTTGAGCCAGAGGCAGTTCATAAATCCATTTCAAATGTTACTGCAAAAAAAGCATCTCCAATTGGGAATGCATCTTTAGTTGGGTCTATTTGGGAAGGGGCACTTCAACTAACTATTTCAACCTCAGTCACAGTTCTTTGTTACTTTAGAAGGTACGTCTAAGTACCTCTTTAATGAAATAGATAATAAATGGTGCTTTCAACCTTTTTGGGTATCGTTAATTTGTTTCTGTGCACTATTGTAGACACCATTCAATAATGCTTTTGCTGTATGCCTTGAGGCGTTGAACCGTAGATTGTGTGATGGGCTCTTTCTTTTCTTTTTATTGTTTTTATTTTGGTGTGGCCTGGATTCTGCGAGTATGATAGCTAATAGACTTTTTATATAGGCTTTCTGTCATATGTAGTGGTTACTTTCATGTATATTTCTATTTATGATGAGGTTGGCTGCTTTGATTATATGCATAGGCCTTGTTTCTCTCTGTTCTTTTTTGGGTTGATGTTGGTCTATTATTTCATTACAGTGGTGAAACAACATCAATGAAGGAGTGGCCCAATTCCCTTGAAGTTAAGGGTAGAGTTCGCATTGATGCTTTTGAAAAATTCCTTCAGGAGCTCCCAATGTCACGAAGTCGTGCAGTCATGGTATCTTATGGCCTTCCTTTCTTTGTTACAATTTATTTTAGACAGGGTTCTGGTTCAGGCTCATTGAACTTGCAGTGTGGCAATTTATTATACAATTTTACTTATATATATTGTGATCTAATGAAAGGATGTACATCAAATTCTTTGAAAGGCAGAATTATTCAGAAGAAATGGGGTTTATTACTTGATTCTGAGTTCATACTCTATATATGTTAAAAGTTTCATGTCTTGGCTCATGATTGGGTATAGCTTTGTTCTCAAATTTATATATTCAAGGACAAGACAAACATAATATTGATGTTGATCTGCAATCTGGCCTTTATTATGGTGTTAATGCACAATTGGAAGTTAAGAATTGGTTTCCCAGTTTTGGGATCGCTAAAAAGCAAACGTACACATAATTTGATCTGTTATAGATGGCTTTTGTGTAAAGCATTATAAAAATGGTTTTCCTTTTCATATCTTGTGTTAATTTGTGGCTTCATTTAGAGGTGGATATTGACACTGAAATTGGGTTCGAAATGAAAGTGTGTCATTGAATTTACTGTAAAATATATAAAGGCAAATTGGAATCTGAGATATATGATCGATCATTTTGAAAACTAGATACGATGGCTAAGATGAAAGAATATGAGAAAAAGCATTGGGTTTCTTGCTAATTTAAATATGATTGAATTTGCATGCAGGTCACCCAGTTTGTATTAAAGGACAAGTCATCAGAGGATGAGCGGAATAGTCTTTCTGAGGTGATTCCTCCTGTACATTCCTTGCTTGTTTAGCTGCTACTAATGTTAAGAATGAATGATTCCTGTACTTACGTTGTATTCGCTTTTTCTTTCTTTCAGGCTGTGGAGTCTTATGTTTCGGACAACAGGTTGGGATTTGCAGAACCGGGTCCGGGAGTGGAGCTGTATCTGTGTCCACCCCATGGTCGCGTACTCGATATGCTAATCAAGCACCTCTCCAAGGACAGGTCGGAGCTGCATGATTTTACTACAGATAATGCTCTAATCGGCGTTGTTGTATGGAGAAAACATCATCATATAAGTTCGACAATTTCACCCAACTCCACACAACACCATAAACACACCACCTTCAAAAAACAACAATCCATGTCTAGGAGACCTCAAGAAAAAGATAACAACGTTAATTTCTTGCCAAAAGGGTCTTCTTCTGTGCCTTCCAAACCTGCCCAATTGCCTCCTGATGATGACGATGATGACGATGATATCCCACCTGGGTTTGGCCCATCTAAAGGCGGCTCTCGTGATGACGATGATTTGCCTGAGTTTAATTTTGCTGGTAACATGAATGCATCATCATCATCATCTATGTCTAGATATCCCCAGCCCCCGCCCCCGCCCCGTGCCCAGACTGTTCCATCATCTGCTCCCGCAGCAGATCAAATGAGACAACTTGTACAGAAGTATGGTCAAACTGGTAATAATACAGTGCCGGGTGGTTTTGGAATTGAACCTTGGAATGACGATGACGATGATGACATACCTGAGTGGCGGCCACAAGCTCCGCTCCCACCACCGCCTAATCTTGGACCACCACCACCTGGTGGCCACACCCCCCAAGGCTTCCATCACCACCAGCCAATGCATCATCCTCCCCATTTAAGAATGCAAACCCCTCACCATCCTCATCTCCCTAATATGCCACCACCTCCAAATGCTGCGTCCCCAAGATGGCCTCCACCTTCTGGTACCTTTGGAAACCAGCAAGTGGGTGGCCAGTATTATGGCTCACCTACGTTGCGACCTGGACAGCCGCCCGGCACAGATTACAGAAGAGATAGCTCAAGGAGTAGTAGGGGTTTTTGAATCTTTATCTTATAAGATAAGATGATGTAAAAATTAATGTTCTTTTCCCCCTCCCCAATTTAGTTTAGATAGTGGATGTTAGAGTTTCAGTTACCAGTAGTTTATTAGCCTTTCAAGTTCAGTGCAACCAACATATCTTGTTAAATACTCTATCGTCTGACTGTTTCCGTTAGCTGAACGTTACGACTAGATCTACCAAACAACCTCAATAATTATTGTCTAGTTGTGCCGTTGACATTCGTGTTTAATGTTGGGTGTTAGGCGTCAAGTCAACTCACCTTTTTCTTATATATATATATATTCATGTTTTCTGAAATTGGAGTTTAATTTTTATTAATTAATTAATGTTCCCACAAAATGCTGTGTGTGAAACAAATTAAACAGGTAGGCAGAGGCAGGTTTGAATATATATATATATATATATAGAGAGAGAGAGTAGTAGAGAAATATATGATATGATTGGATTGATTGATTCAGAGTTAATATTAATTCTTTGTGCTTTTTTGAGTATAGTGATCTTTTTTTTTTTTTTTTTTCAAATTGACCACTTGTATTCTTTTGATTTTTTTTACTTATTACAATGCAGTATTTGTTCATAACTACTTTCTTAACCAATTGAAACACAAAGAGCTCATATTACCTCCACCGAGGCTCCCTCCCACTTAAGGGAGTAACTTAGTGTCATTGGTCTTTCGATTTTTAAATTGTTACCGAATGAATTACAGATAAAAGTAAAGTCAAGTCTAGAATTAAACCCCTATGCTCGAAAGACCTGATATGACATTAACTCTATTGATTCAGCATTCAGCTGATGCTCCTCCTCCTTCTCCTCCTAAAGCTTGCTTGAGTGCAGTTCGGTGTTGTGGGGTTAATTGGGTGGGAAATGTAACTTCAAATTTGATCTTCAAATCGCCTCTACTCCCTGCAGGCTCCCTAGCGATGGGCATCCCTTCTCCTTCAACCACAAACTCATACCCAGGCTTCACCATCTGAGTCACTGCTATGGACAAGCTCCGACCATCCAAGGTTGTTAGGTTTAAGGTTGTCCCTCCGATGGCCTCCGCTAGCGTCACCGTGTAATTCATCATCAGATCGTTTCCATCTCTGTTGTAGACTTGGTGGGGCTTCTCGTCGATGATGAAAACCAGATCCGCGGGAAGCTGGCTGGGCTGCTCGTTCCCTTTGTCTAGAAATGTGATCTTTGTGCCTTTCTTCCACCCTGGCTTTACGTCAATGCTTAATATCTCTGATTCTTGTACTATTCTTCTGCACCACCCACGCCAATAGTATGTAGTAAGCTACCTAGTGTTTAACTAACAAACATTGCTTAATAATAATAATAATCAAAGATAAAATTTCACTTTTCTTCCCCTTACTATTATATATATATATGAATCACACTATTAAAATTTTCTAATTAAGTGCATAACTATATAATTTGTATCACATTTGATCTTGCTGTTCAATTTTCTGCTCAACTATTGCCGGAAATACTCTTTCCAGAAGAGGCACTGTATTTGCTTCTTCCGTTCCGGAAGCACTTCCAATAATACTTGACTGAAAAATTGAACAATATGACCAAATTAAATATAATACAAATTACATAGTCATGCATCTAATTAAAAAATTTTAATAGTCAAGCATCAAATGTGATCCATGCATAATAATTAGGGGACCAAAAGTGAAATTTATTCATAATAAAATAGAAAATAGTCAAATAGGGTCCCTATACTTTACTCAATTAGGCCTTAAACTTTCAAATGTTGTAATTAAGTCCTTAAACATGTTATTTTAGAGCATTGAGGCATTGAAATCGGTCGCCTTCTTCGGCAAAGGAGAAGGCGACCAACTGACCCATGCGACAGTTTCGCTAGTGTTTTTGGCCAGAATATGGCAGAGATTCATCGGAATCCTAGTGACTTGTAATTACAGGTCACCAAACGATTTTTGGGTCTCAATGCTCTAAAATAAAATGTTTAAGGGCTCAATTACAATCTTTAAAAGTTTAACCGAATTGACTTTTAAGTAAAGTTGAATAGGCTATTTGAGTAATAAAATAAAAATGAGGGAGGTGAGGCACCCATGGGCATCAACAACAGTTCTTGATATCTTCATCTTCCTAGTTGAACCAGAGTAGAGCTCTTCAAGGGTGCAAGGCAATTTGCTCTCAACAGGAGGGGGTTTCTTTGGAATGCTGCCACCATTCCCATCACTTCCTGCTGCTCGGAATCCGAAAGGGCTACTTCCGAAAAACTCTGCAAATATATCCTCTGCGTTTCGAGGGTTGAACAATCCGTTTGAGCAACCCGCTGACGGCATGTGTTTTAGCCCTTCTTCACCATGTTGATCATACACTTGCCTTCTCTGTGGATTACTCAATACCTGCATATATACATATATACTACTTGTAATTAAAATTCAACATCTATCATGCATATAAAACCCAAATCGAACATGCATGATTGTAATCTACATGTTAATCAATGAAAATGGAAACATTATATTGCACACACTCTTAATGACAACGAATTGAAACAATTCAACATATATTTTTGTTATTGTTAAGGGATTGGAATTGGGTTACGGTTGGAAATAGATCGAAATGCATGCATGCATGCATATATGCAGATGGAAAAGAAGAGAATTGAAAATGATGAGAGAGAGAGAGAGAGACTTCATAGGCCTCGGAGATCTGCTTGAACATGGCTTCAGCTTCGAGCTTGTTGGTGGGGTTCTTGTCGGGATGCCATTTCATTGCCACCTTTCTGTAAGCCTTCTTCAAGTCTTCATCCGTCGCTGTCTTCTCCACCATCAACACACTGTAATAATCCATTCCCATTTTCTCTCTCTCTCTCTCTCTTTCTTTATTTACATGTAGGTATTCTAGATGCCGGTTTAATTTGAATATATATATATTATGTATCTGCAGGAATCATGCATATATATGAATCCAATTAAGGGAGAAATTGTGGTTTTGTTAAGTGCATGAATATGCATGCATGCATATATCAATAATCAATTGAAGCTTCTCAATATGTTACTAGCTACATGCATACGTACTGTATGTAAATTAAATTTGAAATTCCTCTGTTTGATCGATTTCAACAAAGGCAATGAAATGATATGATAGATGAAACCACAAATCACAATACTATACTTTTGATGTGTTTTATTTTATTATTTTGTTTTTAGGGATTGGATTGGCCACCGCGTTCCTAGCCAACCTTTGCTAGCTATTTTTTTTTTTTTTTTTTAAAATAATATATACCACTTTGCGCTTTTTAACTTCTTTTTATTATTTACTAAATAAATTAGACTTTATCCATCTCTATTAGTGGATGGGGAGATTGCAAAGTGACATAACATAGCACATCTCTCTTTTACTTTACTTTAATAAAATATTCCAAGTATTACTTTACTTTAATAAAATATTCCAAGTACAATTTTTAATTTTAAGATTTCAAATGAAAATGTGCAAAAGTGAAAAAAAGGCTCACTTTCAAAACTTAGCCTTAATTACATCCACACTAGGCTAATAATCCATAGCATGGTGAAATATATGTATATCTAGTTTTTGAATAATTTTTCTTTATTATTATTTTTAACATACATGCCGCTAATATAATGGAATTGCATTAAATTTTAGGACTAAAAAGAAAAATAAAATGATAATTGTAATAATTTCTGTCATCCTTACCAAATTCTGTAACACTTGGTCATTTAACGTAACTAAACAAAATGGAAAACCCTTGATAAATTAATCCAATCAAATCAAATTAAATAAATGGTATAAGATTTAATATGTTATTGAATCTATTGGCTGGCTTGTATATAGCTTATTATTATAATATTGGCCTGAACATTAATTAGTTGAAACAGTACAGGCAGGGAAGGCATCCAGCCTGGGGTGAATGGGCAAAATCAAACTAGTGTTTTATCCCCAAATTCAGGGCTATATCATTCAGATATTTGAATGTGCATATCTCTCAGCTCTATAAAGCAAAGACCACTTTGAGATCAGAATTAAAACCAAAAGTACAAAGCAGTATTGTGCTATACAACATGGGGGGCTGAAACATCACTGCTCACACCTCTCAACTAAAAACCTTTGATGATCAAATTCACACTTCCATCTCCAAACCAAACAAACATTTAACTCACAGGCTCCGAGCATGACGAGCCTGATGACGAAGCAACTGTGCTGCTGCTTTCATCACTCACCTTCTTCAGTTTCTGACTATAAGCTTCACCCGAAGAAGGGCCAGGTTCCGATTCATCACCAATGTCCAGACAATCAGGAAGCTTTTCAGAACAACCATGTGGAGACAAACATTAACAAACTATCTTCATCAGACAAAATGTCAAAATTGCATAAATTTATTATCAACTATCTCCAATTAGATAATCAAAATATCTGATCATTCACTAAAAAAGAAATGACAAAATGGAGGCCAGTAGCTGCTATCATTGTTTTTGGTGACGACTATAAAATAATGAACAATCTGACATATCAAAAAGACAAAACCTCTCCGATTGCATTCTCTCACACATCAGTATTCTGCCATGAAAGTAATAGACTCAAATAATAATAACAATAATCTCTCAATCACAACCAACCTAGTCAAATTAAGAAGATCTAATCTAACATCCCATGAGCTATATGAAGTCAAAACACAATCTAGCAGTGAAACAATAGAGCATATGTTGACAAGTAACCTTTCCTTCCCCACCTCAATGCCAAAACACAACAGACATACATCAGGAAAGAGCTAAATAAGAAAGGGATAAGGACAAAACAATGAACTATTTGGCTATTTCTTCAAAAATAATGACCAAGAGCAAGTCTAAATATAGTTATGAAAATCAAACAAAATACCTCACATGTAATTGTCTTCTACTAGTGTGAAGCAAAATCAAAAAGGTAAGACTTACTATAACCAGTTTTCTTTATTAGAGTTATTTTTCTCCAATTTGTCTAGACATGCAGACTTCATTACACATCGCTACATTTCAGTCTTCATTAAAGATAGTTTTTCTGTGGTTCAATGTGAATAGCATGTAAAACTCTGTAACAAATAAATAAGTAAAGAAGAATCTATTAAGGTAATAAATTTTTAGCTTGAAATTAGGAGCATCATGCATTAGGAATTTAGGATTTCACTATAAGATGTTACGAGCATGAAGATAACAGAGTGCATTAGCAGATAAAAATTGTAAATCAATGCCTGCCCTCACACGTGGAATAAAACAAGACAGAAAGAAACAAACTTAAAATAAATCTAAGAGAAAAAGCACGGTTACTTGTATCAGTACAACAAATTCAAAGCATTTACCTCAAGTTGATTTAGCATGTCAACAGTTTCTTCCAGGTCACACTTGTTTACTAAATAGACTTGAGAAAGTGATTCCTCGGATATATCACGAAAAGTTCTCCGAAGGTATTGCATGTCAATGTCAAATTCCATATCCAAAACCTCTGTATCTGTAAACTCATGTTGACCCTGAGATGATGACCCATAAAAGTCATCACTAGGAGAGTGCTGCATGTAATATTGTTCAGTCCTTTGGGCAAACTGCTGCTGATATTGAGTTGGTGTAACTCCAGTCGGCAGCAAGCCAGCTTCATTTCCGTCTTTATTCTCTATCCCTGGAGACTTAGCACTGTCTTTAGTGGGTAACACTCTTTTGGAGAGTGGTACATAAGCTTCAGCATGTGGATTCAAAGTAGATTTTCCTGCCTTCATGGGAATCATGGCTACAGACCATATAGAATTTGCTGTTGAAGCACTGAAAAATAATAATCACATTATTATGAGCATAAAGGAACAATGAGGATTGTTTTTAAAATGTAATGGTTTCATTTTAAGGACCGCACTAAAGCTACATGATACTCCATACAACATCTCCAAGCACATTCTAAATTCATTCATAATCATTTATTATATATCAGATGCATATCACACAGCAGTATTGACATGAGATTTCAACATACAAGTACTGATTACAATGCATTCTTGGCATGTCAAATCTACTTTGGTATGGTAGATACAAACTAAACAGTGTGACATGGGTGATTGGAAGTTGGACAGAAAACACTCACACCAAAGAGGAAGGTTTGAAAGACACTAATTACTTTGACACAGATTTTTTTCTTAAATAGATACATCTTAAATTTCAATTTTTTACATTGTGAAATACAAATCACGTGATAAATGATAATAGGTGACAAGTATTAGTAACTAGGCACGCAGGTCAGGGTACAAATCCATTAGCAAAGATATGAACCTCCTTAAAAACTTATACATGATGGCTTTTACATAAACATACCCGACCAAATCAAGACAACATAAGTCAAGATAGACCAGTAAAGCATGATTTATCACATCAAATGACAATTGACAAATAAGAAAACATAGCAAACCAAAATGTACAGACAAAAACGAAGACTGACAATTTGCATCATGCCTTCGTGCATAACTATCGAGGCCAACCTTTTAATGACTCAGATGCAGAGAAATTAAAACACAGAGAATTCCCGATTAGTCGATTACGGCGATGCTTCAAGGCAATAAACTAACCACACGAATCTGCACACAGAGCTACTAGTTTTGGTGATCAAGCCGAGATAAAAGCACATATATAGACACACATATAGGAACAGAGCGCGGACGAAAAGACGAGGAATCGATAGTAATACTCTAATAATAACGGAGACGGTTACGTGAAATTGAAAATCAAACGAAACAACGATTAAAAATAGTTTAATCACAGATAAAGCAGAAAGAATAATTGAAAGAATTACGAGAATTGTTAAAGTGATCGATAAAATGCGAAAAATCATAGCATCACAGGTACAGGCGGGGACAGGTGATCGGGAAAAAGAAGAAACAGATCGTGAGAAACCTGGAGGAGAGCGATCTAGGCTGCCTGCGAGCTTCGGAAACCCTACTTTTGGCAAAAATGGCTTGAGAGTGAAGAAAGCTGGTTTTGAGAGTAGCCTGAAACCAAGAAATGTGACGATCTCATGATGGCAAAGACGGTTATCTCTCTTTTGTCGCCTCTCCAGTCTCCACTCTCCACTGCGCGCGCGTTACGTCTCTACTCTGTCTGCCAACTGCCACCTCCATTTGTTGCGTTCCAATTCCAATTCCAATTCCAATTTCCAATAATAGCAAAATAATATGAGGAGAATTACCATTTTGATCCCTCATTGTTAATGTATTTCTTAATTTTCAATTTTAACTAATTTAATCATTAAATTGTATAAAATTTTATCAATTAAATTGACAAAATTTCAACAATAGAAAAATCATGATTTTAGTCAATTGGAGGAGTTTAATTGACGAAATTTAAACAATTTAAGAGTCAAATTAGTTAAAAAAGAAAACTATGTACTATATTAACAGTTGTAAAACAATTAAGGGACCAAAATAGTAATTTTTCCTACCAGTATAATAAGATTATTTTTCCAATTTGGTCCCTCTATACTATTTTCATTTATAATTGTTGACTATTATTTTATTGCTAGTACTCGGTATTAGTTTATCAACTTTTTGTTATATATATATATATATATATATATATATATATATATATATATATATTTATATTTATATTTATATTTATTTATTTATTTATATTTTGATGACTATTATTCTATGACATTTCCTTTGCCACCTTTTCATCTTCTTATTTATGATGGGATATGAAAGGATTATTTTTGGATATGTATACATGATTATCTTTTCATCTTTTTATTTATTCATTGATAATAAGGTTTTTTTTTTTTTTTTTTTTTTTTTTTTTTTTTTTGGAGTTCTTACATTTGAGTTCATCATTTCTCTCTTCTTTTATTCTTTTGTTCTTAATATTATATTTCGCGTACAATTATTGCGATGATCGTACAACCATCTCGATAAATTGAGCTAAAGAAGGATGAATTTACAAAACTTTGATTTTTTCTTTTTACAATTTTTAATCCTTTCAATAAATTTTTCAATAAAACATCAATTTTATGTACATTTAATTTTGAGTGATGTTTGATTGAAAAACCCATGAAAATGACTAAAAGTGGTAAAAATACAAATTTGATGGACTAATAATAATAAAAACGATAGTTGAAAATTATATTTAAAAATGTCACAAAAGTTGATGGATTAATAGTAATAAAAAAAAAAAACAATACGAAAATTTTGTAATGATGTACTCTCCTTATATGTACATTACAAAACACAAAGACGCAAAGTATTGTTATAAATATATTATTATGATGGATATTATGGGCATTTAATTCATAATAGTTGTAACGGTTAGCATTAATGTTGTTGTTGTTGTTATTATTATTATTATTATTATTATCTCTCTCTCTCTCTCTCTCTCTCTCTCTCTATATATATATATATATATATATATATATATATATATATATATATATATATATATATGTATGTTGTATACTTATTTGTAGGGTTGAGGATGAAGAATATTGATGGAATGAATGAGTTTCATTTTTGTCTCTCTATTGTTGCTATTTCTTTCCCCTTTTCCTTTGTATTGTTTCCATAACGAATTCGATCGTTTCTCTAAAGATGACTAAGAGCTAATAACAAATAATCACAATACATTATCAGATGCTCTAACCACCACGTTATCAGCACTTATATGTACATTACAAAACACAAAGTATAACATTATAAAGTATACAACATTGTAAAAAGTTTCAATATCAACAATAAAACATTATATAATTGTATAACAATTACTTCCCCCTCCTGGGCCCAGGTATCATATACACCTCCAAAATAAAGGGACTTGAACACTAGAAGAAAAGCACCTAGACCTAACAAGTTTAAGTGAATACCTAAAATTGTGGTGATTTTATTTCTATCTTTCCATACATAATCAAAAATGGAAAAGATTCTTCAAGCGTCTCAGGACAAAACACGTTGCAATAATTAATTAATTATTCAATCAACATCTAATATGACATTTGACATCTAACTTACTACATCGTTTCATTATTTCATGTCAATTAGTATTTTTTTATCAAGTAACTTTGCCTTATTTTTCACTTTCTAATTTGACAATTAATAATAAAGCACTACAGTACACCTAATAAGATTTTTGTTAACGAACATAATTATATTGTTTCAATAAAAACAAAAGATGTTAAATGTTCAATAATAAAATACATATAATATAAGTTAATGAACTTGTGGTCTAGTAGCACGAAGTGACTATTTCAAATGGAATGTCAAGGGGAAATGTCAAGGGTTTGATCCCCGGTGAGGTGGTTAGTAGGAAATGTTTCTGTATAGTCGAGAGGAAACCCCCAAAGGAGAATTTCTCTTGCCGGCCGGACGACTGATCCCCATCTGAAGCAATGGCCGACGCAACACCATGGCGTAGCGAATAAAATAGGTATGTTTATTGCCTTTTTTTTTTTTTAGTGCATGGATATGTGATTGTTCTGTGCGTGTATAGGCTAGTTAAGCTGATTCGTGGGTGCAAAAGCTACTGAGATTGCATAAGCCGTAGTGTAGGGTGTTTAGGTAGCATAAATAAAACATTGAAACTAAAGTAGGATTGTGATTTATTGAATAGATAAGTGATGAGCCGAAGCAATAAGGGAGTAGTGTGTGGATGCATCTGTGCATGATGAGTTTGTGCATTCGTAGGTTAAAGGTGGATAATGCGACTTGTGCATGTAAGATAGTTCTTTGTGTGTAACTGTGTATATTTGTTTGTGACATGTAGCATTTGTGGCCATAGACAAATAAACAAAGTAATTTACTTTTAATTTTGTAGTGTTTATAGTTTATTTTATGCTACAAATATTGTGGTAAGAAATATTTTTTATAACATAGCAACTTGTGCATGTGTTATAGTTGTATGATTTGATTTGTGTGTGTCAATGTGAATTTGTAGACATAGATTTTGAATTAGTTTCTGTGCATGTGAGCTGGATTTTAATTGTGTGCATCTGGCTAAGAGATGATTATATAGCTAAAAATGATATTTCCTTGATGTATAAAATCTGTAATTGCTAACGCCGTGTGCATTTGCTGTAAATAATTCTGTGCAGTTGAAGTGTATGTGAATTGGACATGGTGAGTATTAAAATTAACCGTGTATTTGTGAGTGTAGAAATGGTGCATTCTGATTGGCACATTGGTGAATTAGTTAGTGTGAATCTGTGACATTATATTGAGTATTTGTGAGTGTATAAATGATGCATTGAGATCAGAGCTTCACTCCAACCATGGAATCGTATCAGTATGTAATAAAATCATTCTCCAGACTTGTACTAATGGCTAATTCTTACACCAAGACAACAAAATGCAATCAATATCTCTTATAGAACTACTTCACCTTTGACACTTTTTGAGAAAATGAGAAGTGAATAAAATAAAAGGCCCATGCATTCAAACCAAAATTGACATATACTAGAAAAGAAAGTGCTACTATGATACACATCAAGTACCACAATGTTAAAGTTTGAACAAAACTGTCTAGCAAAACACTTTAACCTCCTAATCTAGACTGTCGACAAAAAACCAGAGCCTTGCACTCAAACCTTATTGCGCATCAGCAAAATGAACAATGAAATATTACCAATCCTCTACAGACAGTAGTACCCAGAGAATTGGATTTCATCAGTGGCTGCTGGTTATGGGTTACAGTTTACCTCGTTGGCTGCTGGTTGTAATGGCTCTTCTCTTTCTTCTTAGCTGCAGCAAGTCTTGCATTCCTTGCAGCTGCCTCCATGGCAGCAGCTTTAGCAGCTGCATCCGTATCTTTACTAGATTTCTTCTTCTTTGCAGAAGCCACCTTCTTAAGTTTTTCTTTCACGTTTACAGCAGATTCTTCTTCTGCTTGCTCAGTCTCTGCATGGTCCTCCGGTGCATTAGGGGCATCTAAGCTGTTATTAGGCTGGTCTTGTGATTCCTTCACCTCCTTCAAAGATTTATCCTTCTTTTTCTTCTTCTTTGCACTTTTAGACTCTGCAGCTCCACCATCCTTCTTTTCCAACTCACCATCTTGTTGCCCGTCTTTCTTCTCTTGTGCAGCATCTGAAATTTCAAACAGGATGTTCATTCAAAGTCAAAATATAAATCATAATACGGCAATGTTAAGTCACTTTGCTTGTAAGCAGTCGCAATCAAAATTCTTCCAGCTCCTCTACTGAGTAATTCTCTGAAGAAACAAATATTATCAAGATAACAAGTTTTGAAGCCAATAATAAAGATTTAGAATGAGAATATATGAGAGGACAGGCCCTTGACATTAAGGAGATGGTAACTACTACAATGGGCCTCTAGACAACCAACTATACCCATCACTAGGGAGAGGGGATGGGTGTGGGGACGCATGATATCCAGCTGAGAGTGATGAGAAAAGTGAAATACAGAGTAGTATGTAATTACCGGATGGTTCCTCAGCAACCTTCTCATTCTGTGAAACACCAAAATCAGCTAAAAGTGCTTCCAGTTCTGCAAGTTCCTTCTTCCTTCTCTCCTTCTTTGATAGTTGCCGCTCTGCCTCTTTAGGTGCTGGTGAAGTTACTACAGCCTCGCTCAGCACAGGCTCAGAATGCTCAGGAACCTCGGGCTCATGGTCATGGTCATGTTCCTCCTCAACATCATCATCACCTTCACCAAGTAGATCTTCTTCACTCTCACTTTCCTGCAACATCATATTCTCTATCAGGCAAAATTTCTCTTCAAATGAATCATTATTAACACACACTGTTCCCCCTCTAGGAGGAGGAAAATTGAAATGGAAAATTCTGAATTCAAAAAGGTTTTAGCAAAATCTTTGACTTGTAACTAGGAATAATATATTAATCCAAAACCATAAAGCCAACCCAATCATATAACAAAGCAATCATATGCAATCCATGTCAACCTTTAAAGAAATAACCTTAAAAAGCATATTATACATGGATTTTTGTACACTTCGCCATCCCAATTATTTGACATTATAAAAAAGTTCCTCCACAATTCAAGTTACTCTGTATTCACATATTACAGAAAAGAATAATAATAAGAACCTTCTATATGCGGAAGCAATAATTTTATTCTAATGGAGTATACTAAAAGCAATTATGAAGTTGAAGAAATGAGACATCATAAGCAAATCTCTCCAATAAAATATCCCTTCAGAAAATTCATCATACTAAATAGTGTGGCCCTTTGCCATAGTCCTTGTTTGGTGAAACTGTTGATGTTTCATTCTTATCACATTTTGACTAAATGTGTCTTTCATTTCTGCTTGTTAACCTGTTTCATAAGTTTGCAAGCCTATTAAGAACAGACCTAAGCCAAGCCAAACGAGGCTACTCTGGCCAAGATGATACTGCTGAGATATGCCCAACAAGCATACAGGAAAGGCAAAGGATGGACTGTCCAAGACCTAAACGAGCAACGCAGGCCCAAGAACAAATGGCCCAAATCACCAGTTCATCACAATATACATGAGCTAGACACAATCTGCAAACCCGAGAGTAAGAGCTCACAATCTACTACAATAGGGAATTCAGTGGGGATGCTTAAGAGGTGTACATGTACAAATAGGTTCGGCAAAATACTGTAAAAATTACCAAATCCCCTCTTTTAGTAGAATCACAGGACCCATTTGCACAGATTTTATCAACTATATTTGTCAGGTATAGTCCATTATTATACATTATGCAAAGCAAAAAGTCCTAAGCCAGAATAGTAGAGGAACTAAATTCATTGAAAAATGATAGCTTCCATCAAAGAATAGATACAGCCATTTTCTTACTGAGTATTATGATTCAATGGCTATTTCATATAACTTCTGTGCATCAATGGTAATGAGCAATATTAGATGATTCAGAAATATCTCCATGCCCAGTATATGAATAAGATCCAAGAATTACATTGTTATATACATACATACAAGACTTAAAGAACCAACTAAAGGTTATTTAGACAGATACCTCTACAGGCTCGGATTTCTTTTCAGGTAGATTAAGAGCCCATGATGATTGAGGAGGCTCTGTAGTAGCAAAGTAATCGTCATCATCATCAACATCAGCCCATGATTTCACCTTCAATGGAGTTGGAGACCAGATTATTTGTGACTCCTTAGCAGCCTCGGCTGTTGTCTTCTTCTTGGAAGACCCCTTCTCTTTATCAGACTTCTTCTTCTTCCTCAAACTATCAAGCGCCGCAAAAACATTGGAATTGGTCACCACAAACGACCCATCGTCCTTCCTGTTCCCACCTCCCACCATTTCCTAATCCAAAACTCAAAACTCACGAGCTGAAGAAACACAGGAACAGTAACGTAAAATTCAAGATTCTGGGACTGCAATGCAAACTTTCAGATTCAATAAACAAACGGAAATCAACAAGATCAATATCAAAATCCAACCTTTCGTCAAAACCCAGCAACGATAATCGGAAAATGAATTAGATTTTTCTCTTATTTATAATATTCCTATAAACCTAGCGACTGAAATACTGTAATATTGAGTAGTTTAAGGCCGGACAATTCGATTTTCTTTGTTTCTTTTTTAGCTCAGCAAATTCCCAATAAAGATCTGTAGGCTTAGCGTATCCAGGAGAAAGTCGACAAATGAACGCTTCGCTTGAGCGCAAGGACAGGAGTCGTTTTTGTATGTATAAAGATAAGGTAGACTAGAGAATGAAAGAGATAAGGATGTGAATGACTGAATAACAGAGAGGGAGAGAGACTGAGGGTTAGGGTTTCGATGATTGATGAAAGGGCAGAACGCTGAAGGAGATAACGCGGCGGAAAGAAGACGAAGATGAAGTATATATACTTGTGGCTTATTACCAAAAAGTACACCACATGTGGGTATCTCTGCAAATTGGTGATAATGGTTTCGGACGGAGATGGTGGTTTTGGGATTTTTTGCTTTTCAAAAAAAAAAAAAAAAAGGTTTTTGAAGGAGAGATAAAGCTTTTACAATGAAATCTCAAAACTTTCAAAAAAAAAAAAAAGAAATCTGAAAGGGTAACACTTATGTGAAATCGTCTCACAGGTCTCAATCCGTGAGTGTTAGAGATATTAGTAATATGCGGTTGTAATTAGATTGACTTTAACTACTAGCCTAATGTATAGGAGTAGTTACGTATTCTATTTCCATTGTATTGTTGTATTACCAATCTTATATTGAATACACAACTGAATCCTCACTTCATCTGGTATCAATTAGCAATAGGTATCCCAATTCTCACTCCCTACCAATAATGTCGACTAACTCCAGTGAACGTATGGTGACTGCCGCCACCGTACACACTCCGGCCACCTCTCCTAATTCCCTATCATCAGCCAACCATTTGGTGTCTATTAAGCTCACAACACGAAATTATTTGTTTTGGCGCACCCAACTGGTTCCGTTCCTCCGTGGTTAAGCACTCCTAGGCATGTCGACGGTGACTTGTCGTGCCCTCTGACTGTTCTCACCACCAGTGACGGCGCCTCCGACGGTACAACGTCCACCACCACCGCGAACCCTGCGTTCGCTGTTTAGGTCCAACAGGACCAATCCATCCTCTCCCTGCTCATATCATCGCTCTCCGATGAGGTGATGTATCTTGCCGTCGGTTGCACCTCCTCTCGGGATGTATGGCTCTCCATCACGGCGGTGTTGGGCTCCTCCACTCGTGCTCGCTGCTTCAACCTACTCGGGCAGTTCCAATCACTCCACCAAGGTAATAGTTCGCCGGCGAAATATCTTGGCAGGGCGCAATTGATCGTTGAGGACCTTGAACTAGTCGGCCGCCCCATATCCCTTGATGAACAAAACTTGTACGTGTTTCGGGGACTCTGATCGGAATTCTGCGCCATGGCGGTGTCTCTCGCCGTTTCAGGTACTCCCGTATCCATCCCGCAATTATCAAACTTTTTACAGGCTTAGCAATTCATTTTTGCCGATGATTTTCCGTCGGGTGGTGATGCGTTCTCTAGCAGGTCTCCCACGGTGATGATCGCCGGTCGTGGTCGCCAGCAGAACGGAGATGGCGGCCTCTGGAAACCGGCAGTCTCACGGTGGTCAAGGTCGCGGACGTCAGCACGGGCACGGTGGTTAGGGCCGTGGTCGTAGAGGAACGCCTCGCTGCCAAATCTACCGATCCCACGGTCACACGACAATTTACTACTTCAAGCGGTATTCTGGACAGCCTCTGGCTCAGGCCAACGTGGCAGTGACCAGCGATGATGGTGCAGCGGCTGCAATCGACGCTTGGTATTCGGACACCGGGCTTCCTCACATGCGACAGCGGATGCCACGATGATGACACAATCGGAGGAGTACACCGGCGGCGACGTGCCGACCCAAAATTATTTATTTTGGCGCACCCAACTGGTTCCGTTCCTCCGTGGTTAAGGACTCCTAGGCACATCGACGGTGACTTGCCGTGCCCTCTGACTATTCTCACCATCGCCGCCACTACTGGTGAAGATAGTACACGATGCTCTCTAACTCACCGGAAAACCTCCAACCGTCCGGCGATACCACGGGGGAGACTGATCTCCTCCAACGCAGCAAGAAGAAAACGAAGAGAGGAATATCGGAGAGAGAGTCTGACCCAATGGAGATGGATGCTGAGGGGCAGAATTTGGAGACGTTTGCAAACAAAAAAGTGACAGAGGAAGCGAACAAACAGGATGACCAAAACCAAGCGAGACCGGCGATCTCCTTCAGGAGTGCCCTGACTGGCCTAAAGGACAAGGAAGCTACCACATATGATATCTCAGATAATGAAGCCGGAGAACAGGAAGATGATGACCCTACCTGCCCAGTAATAAAATTGACAAAGGAGGAGAAGAGAAGGATGAGGAGACACTGGGAGAACACCCTACTTCTTGGAAAAACCGTGGGGTATAACTACCTCCTGAGACGCTTGAGAACCATCTGGAACCCAAAATCCGGAATGGATCTAATAGCTATCCAAAACGGTTATTATCTTGTTCGATTTGCATCGGTAGCAGACTACGAACACGCGAGACTTGAAGGACCGTGGACGGTGCTTGACTATTACCTAGCGGTTAAGGATTGGGAGCCGGATTTCGACCCCATGAGAGACGAGACGTAAAGGCTTCTGGTTTGGGTTAGAATTCCTTGTCTCCCCATCGAGTATTATGACTATGATTTCTTAATGAAGCTGGGAGATAAGGTAGGGACTGCTGTTAAGGTTGATCACACAACGAGTATGGCTTCACGAGGATTGTTTGCTAGAATTTGCGTGGAGGTGGATGTCACTAAGCCACTCATCGCAAGATTCAAGTTAAGGAATAAACACAGAATTGTTGAGTATGAAGGCCTTCACCTCGTGTGTTTCAAGTGTGGGATGGTGGGGCACAGAAAGGAAGCATGCAAATTGGCAGATATTCAAGCTGAGAATGAATCGCCGGCAAAAAACGGTGGAGCTCCGGTAAACGAGAATGGCAGCTCATCGGAGTAGATAGGAGAACCAGTATGGAAAGAAAGAGACAGAATCGCGAGAAACCAGGGCATGCAACGGTCATATGAGAACAGATATGATACCTGGATGATAACACAAAGAAAAGCAAGAAATTACCAAAGAAAGGAGGATAAGAGTAATCATAGAAAGGCTAATGCAGGAAGGAATGAGAGTTCTACAAGGAAAAAAGGAGCAAATCATGGGAATAATGGAAATGCCTTCAATAAGGAAGGATTTACTATATGGAACAATTCCAGATATGGAGCTTTGGAAATCAATGAGGAAATATAAGGGGAAGACCAAGAAGAGGAGCAAAACTGGGAAAGGCCTGATGGGCTTACAGGAGCCATACTATCTGGGAAGGGAAAAAGGCCTCAAGTCCAAATTTCTGAAACCCAAATTTTAAATGACAAGTCAGGAACTTATCACGCAAACACGGGCAAAAAGACTTCTAATAACAAGCCTGAAGGAAGCACGAGCACAGCGAAGGAAAAGAGACAATCGATACAAGCTGCGGAGACTGAGAGCCATACGGTGGTGAGAGATCTTGCAAATGGGAATCGGATAATTAGAACCATGATATCTGACGAAGAGGAAACCATGGAGGAAATCCAGCTCAACAATGAAGCAGGAGAACACCACCAAGACCCTCCCAATGCGAGCATCTTGGCGGTACTGATCGACCCTGTTGATCCCATGTGTGATGTGATTCTTGAGGGAGGCCAGACATCGACTGGCTTAGGCGTTGCTCTCCAGTAACGTTCCTTGTGTGTTTTATCTCGGTTTCTTGGGGTTTGCTTCTGTTTGTTCTGTTTCCTATGAAGATTCTTAGTTGGAACTGCCAAGGAGCCGCGTCGAGTGGTTTCAGACGTGCGCTCCTCTTTCTTGTTAAAAAAGTTAAAGCGGATATTGTAGGCCTAATGGAACCGAGAATCTCGGGAGGGTCTGCGGACAAAGCTTGCAAAAGCTTTGGTTTTGATAATTGGATGAGAGTTGAAGTTGTGGGCTTTAGCGGGGGTATCTGGATTTTATGGAAAAACAATATTATTGTGGATATCATAACTACTAACTCCCAATTTGTCCTAACTAAAATTAGCTAAGGAGGCAACCAGTTAGGCCCCCAATTTGTCCTTACTAAAATCAGCTAGGGAGGCAACCAGTTAGGGTTAGTTTCTTTTGTTTATGGGAGCCCTGCTCACAATCTTAGAAATAAGCTCTGGGAAGGCTTATCTAACGATAACTTTTGTATGGACGGAGGATGGCTCTCTGTGGGAGATTATAATGCAGTCACTTGCATGGAGGATGTGACCAACATGGATAACTTCTAAAACCATAGATGTGCAGGTATGCGTCAATGGATTTTTAAGGAAGGATTAATTGACTTAGGTCTTTTTGGTGCCAGGTTCACTTGGACGCGAGGAAGAGAAAAGAATACCTTCACGGGGGCCAGACTCGACCGCGCGTTGTGCAACCTTAGTTGGATTTCGCGACACCCAGGTACCAATGTTTCTCATTTGGCACGTTTCTGCTCTGACCACTCGCCCATCCTTATTGACACCACGAGCAACGCTAAAAATGGGAGGGCTTTTCCTTTCCAGTTTCAAGCAGCATGGCTTAGTCACAAGGATTTCTCTAAGGTGGTCAGCACTACATGGGATACGAAAAAAAACATGCTGGATAATATTTCTAATATGCAGACGAGATTTGTGGATTGGATTAAAACTGACTTTGGCAATATTGAAAGGAGAAAAAATAGACTAATGGCAAGACTTGATGGAATTCAAAATTGCTTAAGTAATCAACCCTTCAACGGGCTCATTCGTCTCGAAAGAAAGTTGCGTTTGGATTTGGAGGAAACTCTTCATCAAGAAGAGATAAAATGGTACCAAAAGTCCAAGGAAGATTGGATTTGCTCGGGTGATTTGAACATGAAATTCTACCACGCCGCAACAATGGTCCGCCGTGCCAAGAATAGAATTCATGGTCTTAAAAATGACAACGATGAACGGTTACAGAATAAGGATCAAGTTGAGGCCTTAGTCTAAAATTATTTCATCAATCTCTACTCGCGGGAGGACGTGATGTCCAATTCTGAAAATATCACAAGTATGTTTCCCAGACTGGAGGAGGGTCTTTGGAATCTTCTAAACAGCAAGGTGACAAAAGACAGGGTGAAGGATGCGCTAATTGCCATGGGACCCCTCAAGGCACCAGGCTCGGATGGGTTTCACGCCATTTTTACCAAAAATCCTGGAGCATCGTGGGCGACTGCATGTACAAGTTAGTGGCAACCTTTATGGAAAATGGCATATTTCCTGATGGGCTCAATGAGACAAATATTGTTCTCATTCCTAAAGTGCAAAATCTCGAAAGAGTTACGCAGTTGTGGCCCATAAGCCTATGCAACGTAGCTTATAAATTAATCACAAAAGTCATGACTAATAGAATGAAGTTCATTATGGCCGATCTTATTAGCCCCAACCAAAGTAGTTTTGTTTCAGAAAGACAAAACACTGACAACATAGTGATTTATTAAGAGATTCTACATACTATCCGAACGGACAAACGCACCCCAGGATATATGGTTTTAAAGATCGTTAGATCGATTTAGAAAAAGCGTACGACCAACTAGACTGGGGTTTTATTCACTCGACCCTTCGGGAAACTGGCTTCAACAATGTTTGGGTAAGGAATATCATGCAATGTGTGACAACATCAGGTATGTCTATTCTTTGGGATGGCAAGAAGCTTGACAGATTCAAGCCAGAGAGAGGGGTTAGACAAGGGGATTCTATTTCACCGTATCTCTTTGTCCTATGTATCGAACGCCTTGGTCACATCATTACTGAGGCTGTGACACAAGGCCGGTGGAAGGGAATAAAGGCGGCAACAAATGGATCGAGCATCTCTCACCTGTTCTTTGCAGATGACATGGTGCTCTTTGCGGAAGCCAACGAAAACCAAATCCATGTCATCATGGATTGCCTCAAGAGGTTCTGTAAGTTCTATGGTCAAAAAATTAATAAATCAAAGTCCAATATTTTTAGTTCTCTGGTCAAAAAATTAATAAATCAAAGTCCAATATTTTTTTCTCGAATAACGTTGGCAGGGACGAAGCTCTCAAGATAGCAACTATAACTGGATTCCCTATAACGAACGACCTAGGGAGATACCTTGGGGTCCCTTCTCTGCACAGGAGAATTTGGAAGAATCACTGTAAGAACATTATGAACAGGGTTCAAAATAGACTGGAGGGGTGGATGACTAGATTCTTAAGCTTAGCCGGAAGGCAGGTGCTGGCCCAGTCGGTTCTCAATGCGATCCCCTCTTACGCCATGCAAACAATGTTGCTCCCCAAAGGTGTTTGTGACCTGATTGATAAAACCACAAGAAATTTCATCTGGGGTGGAGATGCACAAAAAGAAAAACAAGCTTAGTAAATTGGGACACGGTTACGTACACTCCCCAAAAATAAAGGAGGTCTCAGGATAAAATCGATGAGGAATCTAAACGTGTCCTTACTAGCCAAATTAGGGTGGCGTGTTCTTAAGGATAACTAGAGCACTTGGGCCCAAATTATATCCAGTAAATATATGAAATCTGGAGCCTCCATTGCAAACATGAAGAAAAAGAAGAGCCAATCAAACATTTGGAAAGGGATATGCGAAGCTGCTCCAATTTTAAATAACGGCACAAACGAATTGTGAGGAATGGAAGAAAGACTCTTTTTTGGGAGGATCGTTGGATAGGAGAAGAACCTCTTCGAAGCTGGATGATTGGCCCTCTTAACAAGCATGACGAAAGAATGAAGGCCACCGAAGCCTGGACCATAACAGGAGCATGGGACTGGGATCGAATTGGAGTGGCGCTTCACCCAGAAAAACGACAACAAGTGGCGGTGTATGTGATTTTGGACGATGAAGAAAAGAATGACATTTTGGGATGTGGTGTGAAAAAGGACAACAAGTTCTCTACAAAATCAGCCTATGAGCTCACGTTGCATGACAGAATTAATTTGGAAGAGGAAGGTTGGGATGATGTCTAGAAGATTAGGGTCCCTAACAGAATTAGATCTTTTATATGGCAGGTTAAACATGGTAAAATTATGTGCAACCATGAAAGAAAAAAGAGAGGCTTCACTGCTGATGGACGATGCAGCATGTGCGAAGCAAATGATGAAGATGTTGAGCATGCCATAAGGAACTGTCCAGAAGACGCGGAGGTCTGGAGGAGAGTTAACGTACTGGATAATCCTGGTTCATTCTTGACCATCAATGTTAATTCTTGGGTTAGAACTAACTTGGCAGGAAACCGAGGTGGCCAGAGGGGAAAGCGAAGGAGCGCCAGATTCGCTATCACTGCATTGTGGATTTGGAAATGGAGAAACAATACCGTGTTCAATGGTGTGGAGAAGACGATCGAAGAGAAGACCGACTGGCTCATTCGCCAGTTTGAAGAAATTGAAGTTGTGCTGGAAAAAAGTTCGGTCTTGGAAAGAAGACAACGGAGGGACGACCGCCGAGCTCAGCCGTGGCAGTCGCCGATCATCAGATGGATTAAAATTAATACAGACGGTTGCACCAACAAGGATAGGCGAGCTGCTTGCGGTGGAGGCACCAAAGACGAAAACGTCGCCTTCTTGGGAGCCTTCTCGAATCAGATTGGTTTGTGTAGTGTAGTAAAAGCAGAGACGTGGGGAATCTATACTGGCATCAAATTGGCTTGGGAACGAGGATATCGCAAGGTTATCATTGAAACTGATTGTAAAGAAGCTATACATAGGATCACCGGAGCAGAGAATGTAGAAGGACCAGCTGGGAACCTCATGGATTTATGCAGAACTTTAAAGAGACGTGACTGGGAGATTCACATGAGTCACGTACCAAGGGAACAAAACATGGTGGTGGATGCTCTCGCCAGAAATGCTTGGAAACACCAAGGGACCTCAAGTTGATTCGACAACCCTCCGTCTGACATTTAAAAGCTTATGCGCATTGATGAGATTGGCCTTTTGGGCATCATGAACACAGTTAGGATCAGTTAAATGATCTAGGATATACTCTTCCCCTATTCCAAAAAAAAATAAATAAATTTTCAAAGGTTTTTGAAAGAGAGATAAAGCTTTTACAATGAAATCTGAAAGCTTTCAAAAAAAAAAAAAAAAGAAATCTGAAAGGGTAACACTTATGTGAAACCGTCTCACGGGTCTCAATCCGTGAGTGTTAGCGATATTAGTAATATGTGGTTGTAATTAGATTGACTTTAACTACTAGCCTAATGTATATGAGTAGTTACATATTCTATTTCCATTGTATTGTTGTATAACCAATCTTATATTAAATACACAACTGAATCCTCACTTCATCTGGTATCAATTAGCAATAGGTATCCCAATTCTCTCTCCCAACCAACAATGTCGACTAACTCCAGTGAACGTGCGTTGACTGCCGCCACTGTACAAACTCCAGACACCTCTCCTAATTCCTTATCATCAGCCAACCATTTCGTGTCTATTAAGCTCACGACACAAAATTATTTGTTTTGGCGCATCCAACTGGTTCCGTTCCTCCGTGGTCAAGGACTCCTAGGCACGTTGACGGTGACTTGCCGTGCCCTCTGACTGTTCTCACTACAGCCGCCACCACTGGTGACGGCGCCTCCGACGGTACAACGTCCACCACCACCGCGAACCCTGCGTTCGCTGTTTGGGTCCAACAGGACCAATCCATCCTCTCCCTGCTCATATCATCCATCTCCGATGAGGCAATGTATCTCTCCGTCGGTTGCACCACCTCCCGGGATGTATGGCTCTCCATCACGGCGGTGTTGGGCTCCTCCACTCGTGCTCGCTGCTTCAACCTACTCTGGCAGTTCCAATCACTCCGCCAAGGTAATAGTTCGCCGGCAAAATATCTTGGCGGCGCGCAACTGATCGCCAAGGACCTTACACTAGCCGGCCGCCCCATATCCCTTGATGAACAAAACTTGTACGTGTTTCGGGGACTCCGACTGGAATTCTGTGCCATGGCGGTGTCTCTCGCCATTTCAGGTACTCCCGTATCCATTTCGTAATTATCAAACTATTTACAGGCTCAGCAATTCATTTTTTTCGATGATTTTCCGTCGGGTGGTGACGCGTTCTCTAGCGGGTCTCCCACGGCGATGATCGCTGGTCGTGGTCGCCAGCAGAACGGAGATAGCGGCCTCTGGAAACCAACAGTCTCATGGTGGTCAAGGTCGTGGACGTCAGCGCGGGCACGGTGGTCAGGGCCATGGTCGTGGAGGAACGCCTCGCTGCCAAATCTGCCGATCCCACGGTCACGGAAAAGTAAGCCCCCATGCCTTGATTGAATTTGGCTTCACTGCGCCCAAATCCAACTAGAAAATCTCACATTGGCCTCTTGTTTGTGAGGCTTCAGCTGTAACACCCCCATTTTCCAAAACCAAATTAATTTATTAAAAGGCATTTATTTGATTAAAATTTCATTATTTAATTGCGGAAGCTAAACCAAACAAGGAAAAAGGGATGCTACCGCCACGTTCAGGTATTCCTCTTATACCCAAACGCTAAGGCTAAAAACAATTAATTAACTAAAATAACTCAAAATTATGAACTAGTACATCAACAACTAACAATTCAACTGTCTAACTAATAAATGATATCTCTAGGTGGTTCACTCATTCTCATGCCCAATGCTCATGCCAGAGTTCCTGCAAAAACAATTAAAGAATAGAAAACAAAGAAACACACAAATTCAGCATTAAGCTTGTAAGATCTACTTCACCCCGTAAAACATTTTGCACATAGCACATAACACATAGGAGCAGGTAATTTGCACATAAACTCCTTAAACATTTTACCATCTCATCAATACCAATAATCTGTAACTTTAACCATTTAAAATTATAAATATTGAGGAAATCACACACTCAAGTACAAAAATATCCATAACAACTTCTAGCAAAACGACTAAGGCATTGCCTATCCATAATCCAAAATCATCCAACCATTATTCTTTCCTCAAGATTTCCATATAACCTCATC